TTTGTGTGCCATGACTGGAAGAGCACTGATTCCAGGGAGGATGCCACTATTCCTGGCAGCCATGACTGGTGGCACAGGTTGTATTACAGAAAATTGATTAAAAAAAAAAAAAAATCAAATATGACAAATAACAAAATCTTGTTTATTGTTCTTATTCTTGCACTGAGATATGATATGGAATCTGTGCAAGGAAAACAGCCTATCAATAAGATGAGCAAGTTACAAAATCTGGTCAATATGGAAAATATATATATATATAATCTTACCTTTGCTTTTAATCTTCTTAAGACCAAAGGCACTGCAACAACTGGATTCTTTTTCAATCCATCAATAATGTCAGGAGCTTTGTCACCATATATTCGCCTGATGGCTCTCTGGTGAATCGTTGGAGAGTTACCCCCAAGGGAATCATCTAACCGAAATCTTGCAGCCTCTTCCGGACTCATCCTCTGAAGCTTCTTGTGTACGCCCTCTAACACACGCATTGTTGCCAAATTGGTCTCTAGCACAACATCCAACTGGAACAGGAAAATGCCCTTCATTAATCATTTTATTCAACATCTTTCAAATTGAGACTCTCCACTGTCAAAATTTGCTTGTAATGAAACAAAACTTGTAATGCAGGCGAAAATCTAAAACAATACACAACACCCATACGGACCTCAAATCTTTCATCCTCACAACGGTAAATGTACTCTTCGTACTGAGTTTTCCGTGAGGTAACAAAGGTGGAGTCCTCTGACCAAGAGGGGAAGGAAACCCAGGTGTCATTAAGGACTTCTTTGCAGAGACCTGTTCTTCCTGAACACTTGGGCTGGGGGTACGACTTCGGCAGAGCGCAATAGGAGGCTCCCAGTCTCTTGCATGTTGTGTAATCTGGAAATGGAATAAGAGTTAAATAAATCGCTTTATTGTTCCAAAATTCTCCTCATTCCTGTCTGAATAAATTTCTGAGTACTGACCACTATATTCCTTCACCTCTTCCACAAATTATTTCATTTTCATCTGACATCACTAATGTTTATCTTTCTTAATACTTACCAATCTCCATTGCCAGATCACCACTAATCCTTTCCTGCTTGGCAACAGTTGAGGGGATGATATCTGAGCTGCCTAGAGTTCCTTCGCGGTATCCAACAAAATCCTGAAATAAAGACATTTTGTATTACAGTAATGCTTTCTGAACATTTCCTCAACAGATTGAATTCACTAACACAAAGAGATTCCATTTTACAGAAAATTTTGCAATACCCTTTTTTAAAACCAACTGATGCCTGGAGTGCATATGTGCACACACAGTCCCTTTTGGTTTTATTTCATTATCTATTTTCAACACAGACAGGCTGAACATGTCCTTTGTCACAAAAAATGCAATTGGTAAGCACTACTTGACAAAATCAACTAACCCTATTCAGTGGATTTACAACTACAACTGCAACAATAAAAATATGAATCATTGTAACATCATCAACAGATATAAAAATTTGAAAAATTCAAGGGATGTGGTAAACAGGTATTGTAAGGACCTCTAGTACTGACTCCTCAGTGACAAAGAACTTGTGGAGTTGACTATTTGTAAAACAAAAAGGGAACAAAACTACAATGGATTCAGCATGTTTCTAGTATCACTAAGTTAACAGAGACAAGGAGGCACCAGCTTACCTTGAACCACTTCAGCAGGTCTGGGAATTTTGCAAGGAATGGGTGGACTAGCTGCACCAATTCAGTGCGCGTGATGATTTCCTCGTTGTACAGAGTGATGCACCTCAGGAAGTTGTGATACGTCTCTTCGTGACGTAACGCTTTCCGTACCTATTGGAGAGAGAGGATGATCTTTAAATTTGATTCAAAATATATTTACGCTACTATTCTTTACCAAGGAGAAACATACAGAACATTTAGTCAAAGGTAAAACCAAAGATGCAATTTACCTTGTCAAAGAAGGCATACTCGGCTAGAGTGGCATGTTTTCCAGCTTCTGCAGCACTCATATCTTTGAGATATCCCAATTTTGGTTTCTTAACAGGTGGCTGGGCATGTGCATGGCCATGGGAGTGGCTTTGTGTTGGTCCTGGGTGAGGTCTCTTTAGCTGATGGCTAAACATTGGTGATGTTTTGTTGGGGGGGTTGCCAGGCCCACTGACCATGTTATTTCCAGATCCCATACCGCAGCTGCTTTTCAGGTTTGGTTTCTTCACTGAGGTATGATCATTGCTTACATTTTTATTACTCTGTGGAAAAAATGTTAGTGTTAAAAAAAATCCCATAATATAACTAATTTTCACTATTCAAAAGGCTGGAAAATTCAGAGGCACAGACTGCATACTCACCCCATGATGAGTGCGATACTGGTCCATAAAGTCAGACACAGCCGCTTGGGCAGCCGAGTTATTAGTTGCATCCGGTAGGAACTGGCCAAACTCTTGCAGTAAATCTTCTTGGTTCTCAAATAATTTTGCAACCTGTACTCAAAAAAATTGAAGTGTTAACATCACATCCATACGATTATATACACAAATGTTAACCCCTTCGATCTGGGCGATGCGACCAAGTCATGAAAAAATCTGGCTCAAGGGGTGGGTGATGTAATCGTGCCGTCACAGGATAATCTGGCTGCAGGTCGGGTGATGTGAACCTGTTGTTATGAGCATTTCAGCTAAAGCCGGGGTGATGGGAGAGACTCACCACAAGTGCACAAACCACTTGGGAGGATAATTTGACTCATTTGGCGATTTCACATTATTCCCATCGATAAACGAGTGCCTAGATTTGTGGTCAGTAACTGTTGTGACACAACCAGATCCAAGGGGTTAATATGCTTATTTGTATTGATTTTGTGTGTGTTGGTGTACAAGTGTATATAGGTATACAGAATTTGTACATACTTTACATACTGCTAGAGGGAAAAAAATACATCTAAATTATTTGGATAGAGTGCTACCTTCATATTCAAACCAATACAGCTGGCGTTAAGACTGGAGCACTTTAGGGCTAGCTGATACAAGATATCCTAGATGCAATGTTTACCCAAAAAAAAATGCAAATGCAAAAATTACCTTTTCATAGACCTCCGTCTCGGTAAGTGTTCTGGCGGGAATTGATCCTCCATCCTTAATGTGTCTCTGCTCCTTCTGATAAGTGTGAAGGATCTCTAGGAACTGCTTGTAGATGTCAGGCTGGCCTTGAAACCGCAACTGTGTGAGAAAATTCAAATTTCAATCACTTGATACAAATAAGAGAAGCAAAAAAAAAAAAAAAAATTGAACTTCATTTCCTCTAGTTTCTATTGAACTATTATTGACATGTTTTTATGATGTCCATGAAAAGAGGAAAGAGGGGAAAAAAAATAAAATAAATAAAGTTCTCTCCTATATACTACATAATGCCACTTTTTACTCTGCTTCTGTAAATCTGAACATTCTTGATAGAGAAATTGTCTCTTCAGTAACAGCTAAATAATGAATCCTGTCTCTAACAAAACCATTTTGCATTTATTTCCTTCTATGGCTTAACAGGGATTAATGTACAACACTCGGTTATGGTTATTATCTTATGTTTTGGAATTAAATCCATAGCAAGCATGACTGCTGCCTGGAAGACAATGTGGGTGACACATGTCCTTCCTGTTTACATATAAAGGTGCATAGTTTTATTCATCATTTTAGAGATTTGAATGTGAACAGCACTTTTGTATTTTGCAATGGTCCAAAAGACTGAAAAGCTCCTACACTGATAAGACTGCTTTGACTGATCAATGAAAATGAGAAAAATAATATAGATAAACCCAAGAAGCTGGGTGGACATGGACATATATATCCAGTCGCCTGTGAATTTAGTTTTATCCCTTTTGCTTCCACCACAAGCTCTTGGTCATCAAGGAATCATACTGGGCCTACTTCATTTAACCAGTTCATCATTTTCCATGATGTCCTGAATTGTTTTTATCATGACTCCTTTTTATTGTTGATGAAGATGATAATAATAAAACTAACATCAATAACAGTAACAATAACAAAGTATTTGAAAACAGAAACATGCCTGATAATTCAAGGAGATAAGGCAGGCCTACTGACTGACTCCTTGGTGACTAGTAATTGTGGAAACGTTTGTGTCAACAAAATTTAAAAAACAAAACTACAGTGGACAGTGCAGTGTTCCTAGAAACAATGTTACATAAGCCAGAGTTACGATTGCAGATCTGGTATTTTGAACACATTCTAAATTTATACAAAATTATTCTAATATTATCATGGAATGGAAAAGTACCGTCTAGATGTGCAAGAATTCTTAACCTATGGATGCTAATTCCATTTCTTCAGAACAAAGACACCTTTTCTACACTATCATAAAAAAAAAAACATGAGATTGGTTTGATCCACAACAATATACAAATGTTTAGCAGTGTACAAACAGTGAGATTACAGTGTAATGCAATAAAAATAACTGATGAGTAGCAGTGTTTGGTTTCTGATCTTTTATGAATCAATCCCTACCCTAAAAACTGCCAACCCACTCCATCCCCTACCTCAAAAAGGAGGTATTTATTTAGCTCTAATCACAACGATTAATCGGTAAGAAAAGGTACATCAATAACATCAAAATATAGTTCACACTGGGTAATATTTCCCACTTTGTTACTTCAACTCTTCTTCCCTTCTCTTAGGCATTACACTAACCAAGATCACTTAACCTTAGAACTATTTTGACAACTTATTCAAACTCATTATGCAAATCAACTAGTTAATCATAAATTATATCTAACGAAAAACCTGGATGTTGTTAATTCATACATCATAGTTTCAGGACATACTGGGCAAGCCAATGCCTTTGACTATTGTAAATACATGATAGGCTTAACAACAGTAAATGCAAGAAAAACTGTAATTAGCCAGTAGATGAATTGTTTGTCATCTCTCAAAGGTAGTCCTGTACTACTCCTAAGTAGAGGGAGATTATGAATTAATATGAATAATCATTATCATCATCATCATCATATATTACAACTCCTACTGAAGCAGAGTAGCCTTGAAGAGATGTTGAGTCAGTGTTCAAGGAGTATTCAGGCAGTGTTGAAAGAGTGGCTAGGGGCATTGAGGAACAAAAGATGCTATAAATGATATTTTTATGAACTAATGACATTTTAACAAAATACTTTCCAGAGATTATTAATAGCTCAGTTTCTTTTTAAGTTTATCATTCTTGCAACAGACCTACACTGATTATAACTTGTATTCAAGCTAACTCTCCCATAATGATTCACTTGGAAGTACTTGAAAGGCCAGGGTATTTTGAGAATATATTGCCCTATTAAAAGCAGATGGCTTGATACCATGCTGTAGCTGGTCTGATATATATATATATACTAAGGAATATGATAAACCAATAACTGGTAGAAATCAGGTCTTAAAGATACATTTCTTTCTATGTATTCAAAACACAGAGCTCTACCTAAAGATGATGAGTTTCTAAAATAAAGAATAATGTGCTTCTGCACATTCAGGCCTGCAACACTAGATAATCATTATCCAATTTTCCTAATGTCTAAAGGAAGAACACAAAACAGAAGTAAATTCACTGCCTAAAAGTATGAATATAAAGTGTATCATCCCATTTTGAAAACTTCCAAAAATCTACATCTGCAGGAGTTACCTTGGTGGTATCACAAAGAAATTTACTTTTTCTCAAAAAGGAGAAATAGAAATGTTGTCAGTTCACATATATTGTCATGACAGGCCTTCCCCAGTATTCCTTTAAACGTCTGATGGTAATGATTCACTAATAAAATACGTGAAATTACTGCAAAAGAAGTACCAGACACTGCTACTTACCTATCATTATTGACTTTGCTGACTCATATTTTAGTAATGTATAGTGTCTTGAACAATCATGTACACTGGTTTATATACATATATATGTATATATATGTATATATATGTATATGTATGTATATGTATATGAGTGTGTATGTGTGTATGTGTGTGTGTGTGTGTGGTGTGTGTGTGTGTGTGTGTGTGTGTGTGTGTGTGTGTGTGTGTGTGTGTGTGTGTGTGTGTGTGTGTGTGTGTATATATATATATATATATATATATATCTGTTTATATGTATATGTATGTATATATTATATATATATGTGTGTGTGTGTGTGTGTGTGTGTGTGTGTGTGTGTGTGTGTGTGTGTGTGTGTGTGTGTGTGTGTGTGTGTGTGTGTGTGTGTGTGTGTGTGTGTACGTATGTATATGTGTATATGTATATGTGTATATGTATATGTGTATATGTATATGTGTATATGTATATGTGTATATGTGTATATGTGTATATGTGTATATGTGTATATGTGTATATGTGTATATGTGTATATGTGTATATGTGTATATGTGTATGTGTGTGTGTGTGTACGTATGTATATGTGTATATGTATATGTGTATATGTATATGTGTATATGTATATGTGTATATGTGTATATGTGTATATGTGTATATGTGTATATGTGTATATGTGTATATGCATATGTGTATGTGTATGTGTATGTGTATGTGTATGTGTATATGCATATGCATATGTGTATGTGTATGTGTATGTGTATGTGTATGTGTATGTATATGTATATGTATATGTATATGTATATGTATATGTATATGTATATGTATATGTATATGTATATGTATATGTATATGTATATGTATATGTATATGTATATGTATATGTATATGTGTATGTGTATGTGTATGTGTATGTGTGTGTATGTGTATGTGTGTGTGTGTGTGTGTGTGTGTGTGTATGTGTATGTATATGTATATATTCTAATTCCAGGTAAGTCCTAGCCACAGTTTACATATCTACACACAACTCCATAAACAAGGAAAATAATGGAAACCACAACACTACAGGGCTCCTACCTTAATCTTATTCACATAATTAATGGCATGGTTGAACTCCACAGGTTGTGCTGGAGGCTGGTGGTGGTGGTGGGGGTGATGATGAGGTGGGGGAGGCTGGGGTTCCCGGCTGGGGTGCTGGGGGGCTGTGTTGGTGGAGTGCTGTGCACCCCCTGCAGAGCTGCTGGTGGCATTAGAGCTGCTACCGGAGTTCGTGCCTGTGGGGGTGCTGCTGCCAACACTAACACTGCTTGCTACCTGACTGACACTGGCTGTTCCTCCCCCAGTGTTACCACTATTAGCTCCAACACCCCCACTTCCACTGCCACTGCTGCCACCACCACCTCCCCCAGCCCCACTGCCACTTCCTGCTACACTGTGAACACTGTGAGTGCCAACTAAACTTGGTCCTGTGTGTGGTGTTACGCCACCAGATGTCAACGCTGATCTACAAGAACAAATAATCACCCATTAAAACTCAGTTTAGCAACTAGTGATGCTTAAGAATATTCACAAGTCAATAATAAAGCTTCATTATACTGAAATCTATAATGACTAAAACTTTAACAGCTTCATACATTGTGCTATCTCATAAAATTACTTTTTTTCTCTCTCTCCTTAAATGATGATCAATCAAGATAGAATGTCTTCTCATAAATTCACAAGGAAAGCCCAAACTATTTAGACAAGCTTTGCATCTCCTTCTAGACCTTAGAATGCAGGAGGAAAATTAGATTGAAAATAGGGTTAGATACAAGATCATGCTGATGAATATTTTCCTCAGCTGCGTCTCTCTTACCTTGGAGGTTGTGGATGATGAGGGGGCTTGACAGTAACAGGCTGTGGCGGTGGTGGCGGTGGATGGTGTGTCGGGGTGATGTGATGGCGGATACCTTGAGGGGTATGAACCACTGTTGTCTGTTGTCCTGGAACACTAACACTTACCTGCATGGACAAAAATAACAAAACTGTAATAGTTGTTACGCAAATGCTACAGAACAGAAAATAAATGTTCTTTAACCTTCTGCAGAAGCAGAACAAAAATTTCCAAATATTTTTATTATCCACAAATCAGTAAATCACATCTTTATTTCAGTATAAACTATTATTTTCAATAAGCATTTCACTTTCTGTACTTTATCAAAATGAAAAATTAACTTTTGCACTGCAGATTCAGGCACTGATGTTTTGCCTTAGTTTTATTTCAATTCCTCATCAATCACTTCACATACAAAATTCTAATGTTCAACTGAATTCCACCATATTCATTTCATTAACCAATGCAATCAATCATCACTTTTCCACTCTGACTATTTTGATATACTGCAATAACAATCTTCAAATCTGCCATCAAGAAGTGTCAACCATTGACCTATCTTTAATCAGGATAGGGAACCGGATAGAGAACCATTACTGCCTCCAATGAGAGTGGTCCGGGAGTCATTGCAAGAAAACCTACAAAGACGGTTTTGCACAGTGCTTTTGAATTGTGTGAGGCATGTGTAAGGGAAGCATGATAAAAGCAACCATTTATTCTCATTAAATAATAATAGACGATTAAAACGCCAACTTCTCTTGCATTTAAGTCTTGAATCCTATGGAGGGTTGTGACAAAAGGCTTAAAATTCTAATCACAACTGACCTGAGATAACACAAAAGCTATATGAGGCAAAAGCTATTGCTTGCTGCAACATTCAAGAGAGGAACTTCAAAACGAAGGTTGCGAATAAACAGCAGTCAGTATTTCAATAAATTGTTGACATCTGTTATCACAGGCATATGGCTTCTTCCAAAAACTGAGAAGTTAGTTTCTATTTTTCTTTCATAACTATTCTTGCAAATGTTACTATTTTCATTTCCAATTATTGATTCAACTAAAAATTTAATTTGAAGAACAGATCAATATATTTCCAATGCAGCATTTTTCAATTTTCAAGGTCTACATATATGTCCCCCACGACAAAATGGGGGACAGGCTGTTCAGAGTAGCATGTTTGGAAAATACAAAATCCATACTGAATTTTAACCTAGTATAATAATTACTTCATATGTACAAGGAAAGAATGAATGTTACCAATGAATGTACAATGACCAAAGTTGCAACTTCACTACTGATTGACAGCTGTCCTTCTCATCCTCCACTTTGCTTTGGTCAAGTGTTTTTTGCTTTTATCTTTCCCTGGACATTTATATAGGCAGCAAATAGCATTCTTTATTAACAGCATCTATTATTCAGCACCAAATATTAACCCTTTGCCACTAATGATGGCACGTTCATACATGCCACATTCCATTATAATTTTAGTTTATGAATTTTGATTATGCATAGATGGCTCCACACGGCCTAGTCACCAAAGAGCACTGTGCCTGATGATTGATTGGTGAAGAAGACTGATGACTGATGATAGATGGATGCTGATGACAAAGCTGGAGAGGTTATGTATGCCTGATAGTTAACTCCTTGGTGACAGCAATTGCAGAGCCATAACAATAAAATAGTAAAATAGCAGGCGATATATTTGTGAGATATTCAGATACTTCACAATCAAGCTAAAGGGCTTATCACAAGGGATTTCATGCCCTGTATTTAGTATCTTAAGTCTTGGCAGGGGTCCTAATGATGCAATATCCTGGATTTTTGCAATAAATACAGAGCTTCTGTGTTTTATAAGAAATGTTACACTGGAGGTACTTTGATACTCTCCACTCTGAATGACATTTCTATATAGAAAATTATGCGCAGGATTCATGCTGAACATATTGTAAATAAAACAACAATGATACCCTGAAGAAGCAAAAACTAAAAAGGCTTCTGCATAATCATCTGTTTTTCTTTTCTAATCATATATAAATTTAGGATAATTGCTATATTCTCAGTTATTAGAATCAGTATGAAATAAATGTTCAATTTGCAAGTTTGTTGATATACAATTGGTACATGTTCATTGCCTGTACCAATAACTCTCCAAAACTTAATTGGAGCATGAACATTAGTTTCATGTATAAGGAATCATGATACTATGGTTTCTTTTTTACCTTCAGCCTTCTCATCTACAATAAAGATAAAGATAGCTTTTGTTGCTATCTTGGGTCAGTCCAAACTGGATGCAGTGAGAAATGGTTG